CTTGGAAGGGTTGGAGTTGTATTGGGCCAAAAAAAGACACCAAAAAAAAAAAAAAAAAAAAAAAATTCGAAAACCGATTTCTCGCACAAGCGGCGCTGTAAAATTCTGCTGAATTTCAGTAATTCAATGATGTGGGCACTGCGGCGCCCACAACCCGGGGCTGTGGCTCCCATCTTTGGGTGGAAAAACTACACTGCGCATCTTTCAATATTTTTATCGTAACATTTTCTCTCGATATCCAATTGAGGTGATTCAAGTTGCTTTGGAAAGATAACTCAAAGTGCTACAATGTTGCTTCAGATATCATTTTCCAATTCAAAAGTTTGCTATTTAAAAAATGAGTCTCCATATGAGACTACAAATATGAAGCATAACTTTTTCGGTTGGAAAATAATGTGTGATCATACTTTGACTATATTTGATCCTTTTGACTTCTTTCTTCATTCAATTGAATTTAAGCACTCTCAAATCTTCATTTTGAGGTCCGACACAAATTTTGAGTTTTTTTCACTTTAGTCCCCAAATTTTGTAGACAAGAATGGAGATTCTAGTCCATATATTATGAATCATTGTGAATATCTATCTATCTCCTCATGTATATCTATCTATTAATAGCCATTTCAGTCCCTTATTTTCATCATGCTATAAAACAGAAATGAATTTTCTGTACTTGGAATAAAAATTACTGTCTTTCTCTAAGCCTAATATGAGCACACTCTCGAGTTTTCAGTCCAGTGCCGACCTGGGATTTGGCTCCAACATCGACGAAGGAAGATGGGTTGCTTACATTCGTCGAAACCTAGAGGAAGAACTTGAGGAAGACACATAAATCTCAGTTTGTATCTTCAGTGTTCTAAAAACCCTATTGCTAAGTGCTGCAAATTCTTACATCCCACAAGAAGTTGCCCTTGGCCCTTACCATTGTTTCTGTCCCGAGATTTACGACATGGAGAAATACAAACTTGCTGCTACATAAAGATATCAGAGAGAAATCCCAAACAAAAATCTCCAATACCTTGTTGATCAATACCTCAAATTCCAGCTCAAGATTCGAGTTTACTACCGTAAGCCGTTAAACTTTAGTGGCGAAACTTTGGCGTGGATGATGGTGGTGGATGCATCTTTCTTGTTCGAGTTTCTTCAAGTTTGTGCTGTCGGAAAAGGCAAGGTACCAACTAATGTTGTTACAACTCATACTTTTCTTAGTCAAAGCCTAGAGTTGAATTGTCAAAGTCAAGGTCAAATAAGACTTAAATGAAGTAAATTATTTTCTTGTGGTTTATTTTGCAATAGATTATATATGAGAGTTTTAGATGGATGAGACTTGTAGTTGAAGATTTACTTATGCATTTAATGAAAGTGTGGGACTCCCTTTGCAATTTCCACTTAATGCCCCAATAAGTGGCAAGTTGTAGACCTATTTCATTTTCATTTTTACACACACACATACACGACAGAGAACTGGAAGAGAGAGAGAGAGAGAGAGAGACCGAGAGTAAAGAGAGAAAGAAGAGAAGGAAAAATGGAAAGAAGAAAAAAGGAAAGGAAGGAAAAATGGAAGTAAATGAGTAAGTGTTGATTTTCTCAATTTTGGGTTTAATTCATTAATTTCTTCAAGAGATAAAGAAATAATATATGTTGAATTTTTAGGGTTTTAATTTGTTAGTTTAACTTTCAGATTATGTGGAAGGAGAATAATTTCTTGTTCAAGTGATTTGATTGAGAAATTTTCAGTTAGATTGAGGTAAGCTATACTATCTTTGGCAAACCCTAGAATTTTAATTGGGTTCTTGGGTATATATATATAGTTTAGAGTAATGATGGTGTTCATGAAATATTCACTCGAAAGAATGATTGTGTGGAACAAGATGTAAAATTAATGGGTTGTTGTGTTGATTACTATGTTTCAGTTTACATTTCTCTCTTTACAGTTTAGCTTATTGATTTCAGATTATGGTTTTAGATTACTGAATTAAACTAGTATACTTACTCAACGTGTTGTATCAATTAGTATCATTCTTAGATATCAGCTTGAACCTAAATTAGAATTAGCACCAGCATTATGATGTTATGGAACAGAAATACGATTGTAACTTACAGACCTGACAGCTTTATACAGATTTTCGTTGATACCAGAGTACCTATACTCGACATATTTTACGGTTGGTTATTCAAAATAAAGAGTGGAATTTTATGATTTTAGCATGCTTCTACTCTAAAAGAAAATCATCAGAATTTGGAATTTCTTAAAACTGTAAGTCAATAAATCAGATTTTTAAATAAATATGTATAAACGGAAAAGTATATGTATTGACGAACTATCCACTCACTGATTTGTAAACTCATAAAATTTTATAACGTTTCCCTTATCAGATAGTAGCTGAGTTGAGAAGTTTTGGAACCTGGCGATCCACCGATTTGAGCCACACACATTCTCATTAGTTTTATGATTCATTTTGTCAATTTATATGGTACTTCTTTCTTTTAGGATACACGCATGCATTGCCAGAAAAGTTAAAGTTGTAATTCATGCATCCATATCATGGGCTCATTGCATATTGGGTATTTTAAATACATCTGAGACTTTTGTTTGTAGAGTATTTGTAAAAGTTGACTTTCCAGTACTGTATTGTGAATAGTTTGATTGGTGAGGGGCTGGCGTACCCTGTTTTAAATTATATGTACTGGTTTGAGTATACTGATTTATTTCAGATGGCTTTAATCCATATTACAGGGGGAACTCTGTCAAAATTTTTATAAAAGAGTCACAGTTAGAACATGTCATTGTTGCATTGGTGGTAGGTCTGGCACTTAGCTGGCATCTACGATCGGCGCACGACACGTGTCGGTCCATTAGGGTGACTTGGGATGGGTCATGTCAAATGTTCCATCAAGAATGTCACATTTGGTTGAATTAGCCGCAAATAAGGCAGCAAACAACGCCATATTCAAAGATCTTATAATGCTCGAGAACCAAATTTCATTGTTTGTGTTGAGGGAATTGTTAGAATTTCAGTTCTCATCATTAGAGTTGGCAGATGAATGGCTACTTTCTATGTTAATTGGACTCAGCAAAGATCTTTCTCCATTCAAGATGGTGGAAGAATTCCCCAAAATACAGCTCATGGAATGTGATCATTTACTCGATTTTGCATACCGTGTTGTCGTGCCAAATTTGGAGGAACAATCTCTTGATCATCATATAGCTGAAATTGATGGTGAATCAAAGGAAGGCGAGAAGGATTCTTTTACAGGAGAACCAAGTCATGTTAGGCCGCTCGTTGATGAGGTATAGAATATCCTTTCCAAATTAGAAAAAGGACCAGTTCAATGGATCAAAAGCATAATCTTTTCAAAACCTTTAAAAGTGATTGTGAAGTTGCCTTGGACTATTATATCTAAGGTTCCCGTCTTAAATATGCTAAAACAACCGTTGGAACAAGCATTCAGTGCCTTACATAAAGGAGGGGAGAAGTGTTGGGATTTTGACTTTGATCTAAGACTCTTTTAAGAGAGCCCTTAAAACATTGTATGGAGGAGTGTATACCGGTTATTCACATACCGGTTTATAAGGCATAAAACATATGAAAACATAATAAAATTCATATGAACTCTGCTGGTTTTATTACCAGATCAGAGGAGAAGAAGGAACTT